TTATACAGCTACATAGCTTAAATTTTTGCCCTCATTTTTTCCTCTCAGTAAGATACTTATGATTTGATATTTTCTGTAAAATCAAACTAGAATTCTAAAAGAATCAAGTCTAGTCTGCATTGAACATTAATGCTTTATAGTATACTACTATTCTTACAGTTTCATAATAGTACTTCTTATAAAGACCTACCTGAATATATTAACTTGTAATTCTCTTGAATTTCCAATTTTTATATTTTATTTGCTCCTTATATCTGATTCATTAGAATATTTTTCTCACCTTTTTTTGAGAACTGTTATCTTTTGCCTATTTACAGATAGGTGCATTATACTCTTACTTTCCAATACGATCTTATATGCCACGTTAAGCTTACATACAGAGAGTATCTTCTCCTAGGCTTGCCAAATTCTTTATATAGAGAACTATGAAGGAAATCTTTGTGATCTATAAAAAAATTGAATACAATATATATTCAAAAATCAAACATCCAAAATTACAACTTGTTTTAAAATAAAAATGTGTAGATCATTGCCGCATTTAACAGTGTCTGTTTCCGAATCAGCAGTTTTTTCTAATTTTTGAAAATTCACTGAAATCATGATGATGTATGTTCATACATCATCTAGAAAAAAATGCTATTACTTGGCTTTCAATTGCTTTCGGTTTGCTGAATGCTTGCAGAGCAAACTTTACATTAATATTTTTAGAAAATATGATAAACACTGAATATATTAGAGATGGTTTCCTCTTGAGAAATTTTATTTGCTAATTTATGGATTTTTCACTTTAAGAACTTACTAGCTCTACCCTCTCACCAACTCCACATCCCTAAATAGGAGAGGTTAGTTCCTCTACCTCTATGACTTTCTGACTTCTTAATGTAGGTTCATTAACACACTGTGCTAAAAACCAAATGGCAGACCTTGAAGTTGCCCTGACACCAAATATAGAAATTGTTGAAAACATTAGTAAAAGAGAAGTAAGATTTATTTGGGGAAGTAGAAAAGGTTCTTTTTTGCCCTTTCCTCAGCCTTATTAAAGAATTTTTTTTTAAATCTTGTTACTATTTCTCATTAGGATTGGTATGTGAGAAGCTAAAATGCAAATCTATCTTTTTCCACTGGATATAAACTTTGCTTTCTTTGCCAAAATACCATCATTTCCTTCTATATTATAGCATAGTCCCAGCACAACAGCAACAACAACAAAACAGATTGGCAACTCTTTCTCTGTGTCCATCTCTCTCCAAAAGAATAAATATAATATAAAAATCTATTAAAAGATGCAGTACCCATATTGTAATAGGACATAGTGATTGCAAGTAATTTAGCTTAATATCATACATGAACCCATGAAACAAAAAGCTTTAAAGGATACTTTACACAGGCTGAAAGAGGCAGAATAATAATTTCTAAGAAAAAATAAAATTTTCAGAGAAAACACTGTTGATATTTGAAAGAATAATGCAGCTGTAAGTGCAAATTAATAATTAAGGCAGTTAGTTTTGGGCATCAAATAAAACAGTTACAGTGATGATTTAAAATGATCTTAGTTTCTAACTTTACATATCTTTTTGTGATATCCATTATTTCAGGATCAAGAATTAAACAACGCTTTTGAATCTAGAGACAATTCTCAATTATCTATAAGTAATCATGTAATTTCTAAATTATCAAGATCCTTGAATTTTCTTTAGTTTTGCTGATCTTCTTATCACTGTTTATTAACACTCCCACCAGAAGGTGAAGTATAGAGCAGAAGTATTGGAAAAAATCCATGTCACTCAAACATCACTGTCTGTGGAAGTGATTTTTCTTTCTTTTTTTCTTTTTTTTTTTTTTAGAGAGAGAGAGAGAATTTTTTCAATATTTATTTTTTAGTTCTCGGCGGACACATCTTTGTTTGTATGCGGTGCTGAGGATCGAACCCGGGGCCTCAAGCATGCCAGGCGAGCGCACGCACTACCGCTTGAGCCACATCCCCAGCTCTGGGAGTGATTTTTCTAAGTATTAGTTAGTGCCAGGAGATACAGGGAAGAAAAAAACATTTTATTTATTTATTATGGCATTAAGGCTTAAACCCAGGGTCTCACAAATACTAGGCAAATGCTCTACCACTGAGCTACATTTCCAGCTCAAAGAAACACATTAACATAAATGCCCTGCTCTACCTAGTCTGTTTTTCTTCTACGTCCTCTTCCCCCATCACCTTTGCCTCCCTCTCCTTTCCTTTCTTTTATTCGTTAGTGGCCTTTGATTCTACATAAAGCCATCTTGGTTCAGGACTTGGAGTTAGAAAAGACTTTGCTGCCTAGGTGACTGGGCTTGTACGGTCAATGGTTTGGGGCTTGGGTATTACAGGTATTTCTGCTTGGTCTGGAGAATAGCAGTATAGCTAACCAGTAATATGGAACTCTGAAGGGGTGGGGGAGATTGCAGAGGGGAAAGCAAATATTAAAAACAATCTATCATCCTGCTATACCAGGGAAGTCTTCACACTGCAGCAATAGTCCTACAATTGAGACTTTCCCTAACTATAGGAAAGGACAGACTGGAATTCCAGAGGAGATCTAAGCACTTCTCTTGGAGTTAAAGTGCCAGATAAAGACTGCCCATCCACTGCCACCAACCTTCTAGCTACACTGTCTGTCATATGTGTGCAGGAAATGTCTTGCTTGTGCAGAAAATTCTCATCCCAATCAGGGGGTAGTGAAAAGAGATGAAATAAAGCCACATTCAAATAGGGCTGGGGATGTGGCTCAAGTGGTAGTGGGCTTGCCTGGCATGGGTTCGATCCTCAGCGCCACATACAAACAAAAGATGTTGTGTCCGCCGAAAACTAAAAAATAAACATTAAAAATTCTCTCTCTTTCTCTCTCTCTCTCTCTTAAAAAAAAATAAAAATAAAGAGAAAACATGATGAGAGAAATAAATAAATAAATAAAGTTCCAAATAGTGGCTCTGACCAATTAGCTGACTGAAATTTTCCCTGGAGTCTTTACTTGCTTTCATTTGGCCCCAGCAATGGAGCAACGGGTCAAACACAATTAACATTTTAAGACAGGTGGATTTTGTTCACTTCAGTTTCTCTGTTCTTCTCTATTCTCATTCTCTTTCTAATTACCTTTACTTCTTAAGATGTAATGCTTTTTTGTTAAAATCCATCTTCTGCTTGTCCACTTTCCCATCATGGTGGCTGTCCTTCTCCATTCCATTCACTGACCTTGATTGCTACCTTTGAAAGAAAAAGAAAAAGACAACATTTGAGTAGTACTTAATATGTTATAAGCACTAATTCAGACACTGAAAATATGATGATGAACAGATTTTTAAAAAATAAAAATTCTGTTCATTTAAGACAGGCAGATGTTAGATAAACATGCTCTGGAGATAAGCAAATGCAAAGCAATGGGTGAATGGCACAACTGGGAAAGAGGGATTGCTAATTTATACAACTGTGGTCAGGAAGAACTTCACCATTCTATGACATTTGGGTACCAACTTAAAAGAAATGAAAAGAGAGGTATGTAAATATCCAAGAAAAGATTGTTCTACACAGAGGAAACAGCGAATATCCTTCTTGGGGTAGATGCTTGATGTATTTGGGGAACAACCAAGAGGTCAGTGTGCTGGAACCAGGGCTGATAGAAGGACATGATGTTGGAGAGGTAACGAGTTCTAATCCATGGACAGCAACATGATCCATTTTATGGGTTTTGACTTTTAACTCTGGTTCAGAGGGAGGCTTTGAACAGGGCATGACCTGGTCTGATTACTGCTCTAATTGGATCTCTCTGGCTGTAGAGTTCAGAGCAGCCTGTAGGAGAGCAAAGGTGAAAGCAAGAAGACAGTTATTTTAATCATGTAGTCAGGTGGGGGTGGAAGCTTAGAACAGGCTAGTGGCTGGGGAAATTGTTTAAAAAAAAAAAAAGTGGTTGGAATCTGAGTGTATTTAAAAATGCAGGAAAGAGGAGTCAAGAATAACTCCAAAGCTTTTGACTTGAGCCTCTGGGAAGCAAATGAGGGAAGAAGATAGGGGTGTAATTTTGTATATATATTATATTCAAGATACTGATGAAATGCTGATTTGATATTTCCCAGACAAAACTCCCAGGACAAATAATTTCTTGGACCACGTGACAAGAAGAGTGCAATGAAAATATAACCTTAGCCCCCAACCTCTTCCCCAAAAGCATAATAAAGGCTTGACATTACTTATGAGCCAATCCTAAATCAAGCTTCACTACAGACATATGTGTTCAATTTACACTTTCTCTCCAGCACACTTCTCACTGACGTGACTTTTATCATTCACCCCCACCTTTTCTCTCTTCCCTTTTCCAATGATGATACATGCCACCTTGATGGAGAAGTTTAAGATCATCCAGAATTTTTTAGTTCCTCAGCTCACATTCCCACATCATCCTTTTCTCACTTTCTCCAATCTCACAAGATGAGTTTTCTCTTTTGCTCTAAGCAATGTGCTTCACCTGTTTTTTTCCTCGCCTTTAATCTTGTCTTTCTCCTCTATCAGACTAATAAGTCTTTTTGTGCCCTGGGAATTTTAGTGGTTCTTTAAAAATATTTATTGAGAGGGAGGAGGGGGAAGAGGACGAGGGGGAGGAGGGCGGCCGTCTGGGGTTAGGTGTTGGGGGGTGTCGGTCCGTTCAGGGCGGGGGATGACTCAAGGCCCATCCCATCTCTCGCAGTCCGCCCACGCAGAGCTAGCTCGGTGGCTTAGCGGAGGAGGAGGCGGTGGCGAGGTGGGGGGACTCTTATTTTGTTAGGGGGACTGGGCTGAGGCCCGACCGGCCTGGCAGGGCTTGCCCGGGGCCGGGTGTCATGTCTCATGCTGCCGAGCCAGCTCGGGAGGCGTAGAGGCCAACAAGGAGGGCCCTTGAGCCGTGTTCGTGCTGTTGGAGGAGCGCAGGCCAGCCGATTGGGCCCAGCTGCTCAGCCTGAACTCTTTGCTTCCGGAATCCGGGATGGTTGCTGACGTTAAATTAGAAAAGATCCTTGATCCTGACAGCTTCTACAAGCTCAAAAGCCAACCCCTACCCCTACGCTCCAGGCCACACCAACCACCCCAGCTACATTCACTACATCGTCTTCTGCAGGGGGCTCCAGGACCCCTGCCATGATGTCATCTTCTTCACACCGGGCCTTGCTGCAGGAGAGGCCTGAGCGTCGCGAACAGAGTGCAGCTGCTTCCTTCCCCAGTCCTGCTCCTGCCTCGCCTGCCATCTCTGTGGTTGGTGTCTCTGCTGGGGGCCACACGATGGGCCGGCCACTCCCTGCTCAGGTGCCCAGGGAGGTGCTCAAGGTACAGACCCCCCTGGAGAACCCAACGCGCTACCACCTGCAGCAGGTGAGTCGGCAGCAGGTGAAACAGTACCTGTCCACTACACTTGGGCCCAGGCTGGCTTCCCAGGCTCTCACCCCACCACCAGGGCCCACCAGTGCCCAGCCGCTGCCTGCCCTTGAGGCTGCTCACGCCACTGGTCCCACAGGCCGCACTCCCAGCAGCCCCACAGCACTGCTCACCACCAGGTCCAGCTCAGAGCAGGAGATTGATGACGACATTGATGAGATCATCAGCCTGGAGTCCAGTTCCAGTGATGAGATGCTCAGCTACCTGCCCGGAGGCACCGCAGGGCTGCAGCTCCCCAGCTCGCTGCCTGCCTCAGGGAATCTGCTTGACTTGTACAGTAATCAGGGTGTGGCCACGCCAGCCATCACTGTCAGCAACTCCTGTCCAGCTGAGCTGCCTAACATCAAACGGGAGATCTCTGGAACCAAGGCAAAGGCCCTGTTGAAGGAACGCCAGAAGAAAGACAATCACAACCGACGCAGGCGATTCAACATTGACTATAGGATCAAGGAGTTGGGCACCCTCATTCCCAAGTCCAATGATCCAGAGATGTGCTGGAACAAGGGCACCATCCTGGATGCCTCTGTGGATTATATCCGCAAGTTGCAGAAGGAACAACAGCGCTCCAAAGATCTGGAAAGTCATCTTCGGTCCCTGGAGCAAGCCAATGGCATCCTGCAGCTTCGAATTCAGGAGCTAGAACTGCAGGCCCAGATCCATGGTTTGCCAGTGCCTCCCACCCCAGGGCTGCTCTCCCTAACCACGACTTCAGCCTCTGACAGCCTCAAGCCAGAGCAGCTGGACATTGAGGAGGAGGGCAGGTCAGGCACAGCAGCATTTCATGTAGCAGGGGGACCTGCCCAGAATGCTCCCCATCAGCAGCCCCCAGAACCACCTTCAGATGCTCTTCTGGACCTGCATTTTCCCAGTGATCACCTGGGGGACCTGGGAGACCCCTTCCACCTGGAGCTGGAGGACATTCTGATGGAGGAGGAGGAGGTGGTGGGAGGACTGTGTGGGAGGGGTATCCTGTCTCCACTGCGGGCTGCCTCTGACCCCCTGCTTTCTTCAGTATCCCCGGCTGTCTCAAAGGCCAGCAGCCAGGGCAGCAGCTTCAGCAAGGAGGAAGAGTCCTGATGGGCCTCACCCCTCCCCTGGGACCTTCCCCACCCAGGAAAGGAGGAGGAGTCAGGATGAGGCCCTGCCTTTCCCCACCTCCCATGAGACCGCCCTGCCCAGGAATTTGGGGGGAAGTAGAGATGTGATCAGGCTCCACCCCTGTAATAGTCAAGGAGGAGGAGTATGGTGAGGGTCTGCCCCTTCCCCCAAAGGCATAGCCCAGTGCAGGTATTTCAGGGGGAGAAGGCTGTGAGATCAGGGTCTGTCTTCCGGGGATCACAGCCTTGTCGCTGCTCTATGGGCCCTACCCTTGACCAGGAGACCAAAGGAGACAGGATGAGGTCCCACCTCTGCTCCCTAAAGACTGTCCTAACCAGGTCTCCTGGGAATAGGGGATTTCGGGATGCTGCTCCATCCCTTCCCTGGGATCTGCCAGTCTAGCCCATCTTGGCACTGAAAGAGGAGGTCCCACCCCTGGGGGGTTTAAGTCCATCTCCTTCCCCATGAACCCTGCCCTGTCCAAACAAGGAATAAAAGTGAGGACATGACCCAGCCCCTTCCCATGGGTACTTGAGTCCTGACCTTCTGGGAATGGAGGCCAGGCCCCGTTCTATCCCTTCCCTATAGGAAGAGTCCAGCACAGGTGTTTCAGGTGTGAAGGAGTCAGTAGGAGCAGGCCATCCAAACTGAAGACCACAGCCCTACCCTAACCCTTAGCAACATCTCATGCAAGCATTCCACTCAACAGGGAGGAGCAGTACTTAAGCTCCCCACCTTAACCTGGGACCAACCTGACCTGACCTAGGAGGGCTCTGAGCTAACTCTGCTCTTGGGGAAGAGGACCCATCTTGAAATTCTACAGTTTTATTCTTCCAACCTAGATCTGGAGTGAGAGTTAAGCCTCTACCCTTGGGTAGAGTCCTGTCTTCTTCCTTTAGGGAAAGTATGGGGAGATGATGGGGTTAGTGGGGATCCAGACCAGGTGTCCAGTACCCCAGGACTGTTGTCCAAAATGTAGAACAGGGTGAAGGATGGGGCCCCTCCAGGGAGATCCCTACCCAGGTAAAAGACAAAGTCTCCCTTACAAGGCAGAGGCTTGGAGGAAGGGTTGCAAAAGTGTATTGTACCCTCTTTCATTTGTTTAACTGATTTTTTTATTGTCCCCCCCTACTCATAAGCTAGGTTATCCCCAACCTCTGGCCCCCACTCAGTTCTTCATTTGGAGGACTCCCCCCATTTCAGAGTTATCAAGAGACACTCCTTACCCATCCCCACCTCTCCTGCTGACTATACCCAAGGTCATCAGCTTTGGATTGCTGGGGCCAGGCCCCAAGGAGGGTGTACTGAGGGGTCTGTAGGTTTGTGATTAAAATAATAAATGCTAGGTGTGTTTGATGCACTTTTAACTTTGAAATAATGAGCTAATAAATTAACAAATAAATGAATGATTTTAAATTACTGGTCTTTTTCACCTTTTTGGATTTGGGGCCAAGCAAAACCCTCCCTAGAATCATCTGTCTCTGGTCTAAGGAAAAGAGGACCAGACTGGTTTTTATTAGCAGTTTGTACAATTAGTATTTTGACTATATTATTAGGCACCTACTTTTCAGACAAAAGCTAATTGGAGACAAATAAGATCGTCTCTTTGTGACTTCTCCACTTCTGCTTCAATTGTCTTTATAGCAAAATAAAAACAGTAATACCATGTTTTATAGCTTTCAAATTCTTTTCACACCTATTAGCTTGTTTCATCCTTACAGAGATAAGAATTACAAAAGATAAATTAACCACAGGCTTATTTGGGTTGTTTCAAATACAATGCCTTATACTGGCATGCACAAGGTAAGTCATGTACTTGTCAAGTACTTTTTGCTGATTACTGCATAAATGTATTTAACTGGTCAGCAAAGTTTTTTTGTGGTAATGTTAAATTTTGCTTATATTCATCAAATATTTCTTTCTTTCTAGTGTGTAGTTATTTATTCTATTACAGATTACTCCCAAACTTAGCAACTTAAAACAACAGTAGACATTTATTATTACCCATACTTTCTATAGGACAGGATTCAAAAGTGGTTTAACTGAATGTTTCTAGCTTAGGGGTCTCTCGTGAATTTGCTATCAATACTTCAGCCAGAATTACTTGACTGGGACAAGAAGATCCATTTCCAAGGAGGCTCACTAATATGCTGTTGTCAGAACGCCACAGTTCCTCACTATGTAGTCTTCTCCAATTCAAGGGTCTTCATGACAAAAGAGCTAGCTTCTCCCAAGGTAAGTGATCAAAGAGATGACAAGGTAGAAAAACTGCAATATGACATAGGAAGTCATATCATTATTTCCACAATGTCCACTTGGTTACACAGGTAATCTCTATTCATTGTGAGAAGGGACCATAGGAAGGTGTAAATACTAGAAGAAAGAACCATTAGTGGCCATTTTGAATATTGGCTATTATAGAGGATAATTACTTTCATGCTTGAAGGATTTTGGTCTTCAAGAGCTCAAAAATTAAAACACAGGCCCACCCTTCTGTTAAGGGTATTCTAATGAATATCTGATTTGGATTATTCTTGGTATCATATTTGCTTACAGTTCAATTCCATCATTTAGTTTCCTTACCTTGTTTGTTAACAAGTAGAGCAATGAGAAGACATCATACTGTAAAAGAGGCTTGAAAAACAGAAAGAAATAAAGCTTTACTAGGGAATATTTTCAGACTGATAGCTTTTATTTCTAGTGTTCAAGAAAAGAATTTATTATTCGTTTTTTTCTTTCTTTCTTTCTTTCTTTTTTTTTTTTTTGTACTGGGGATTGAATACAGGGAAAATTTACTAGTGCTCTACATCCCCAGTTCTCTTTAGCTTGTTTTTGTTTTGTTTTGTTTTTAATTTTGAGACAGGGTCTGCCCAATCTTCCAAGTTACTGGTGTTACAGGTGAACATCACTACACCCACCAAAAATATGGATTGCAAAAATGAATATTTTTCACAAGGAGGACCTAGTCAACTTCTAAAATACCAGCATTTACTCTGATTTACAATATACTCTATTTCAACAAGATGGGCAGGCATTAGATGCTTCTTTTTACTCAATATCTCTCTAATGTATGAATTCCTCGGAACTCTTCTTTTATGTGCACTTCTTTTAGAGTATTTAAACCTTTAAACCTTGGATCATAATATTATACATGCCTAATTAATTCTAACAACTCCAAGTTCCTTGAAATCAGAGTCTATTTCTATTTCTTCTCTTCCTTGTATTCGAGACTTAATGCAGCTATATTCTCCACTTCCTTACCCATTCCTTGTTTCTCCATTTTGCCCTTCCTTCATATAAGCAGATTAATTATGTACTTCGAGGAGCCGTGTGATTGCAAAATCACAAAGTCCTATGGGTCTTTACTTGATTTTTATATTCCCAAAGCTGAAGCCCTCAATAGTTTTGTGTGGACTTCAGACTTACGGAAAATGCTTCTTAGAAACAGTAAGAAAGTGCACACAGCTCTCGCTGTTCCAGAGTCTGAAGGGTCAATACAGACAGAAATCGGGCATATCTCATTGACAACCAAAAATGATGACTGATTATATCGAAAAGCAGATGGCTCCTTAGCCTCTCCACTTGGCAAGCCATCTCATCTAGTTAGGAACTTAGATAAAATCTGAGAAACTGAGATGGAGGCGGATTGTCTGAAACTGTTTCTGCCACCAGATCAGAAAGGGACTTAAAAAGGTGTGAGGATGGCCTTAGGCCTGAGCCTAAGCAACTCCATTTTAAAAACTCCAGTTTGAAACCTGTGTCTCACCAGGCATGCCCACAGAGCCCTCCAGTGTGGCCTCAGACAAGTTACTTCCCCTCACCCTGATAAACAGAGAGAAGCCCCCTGGCAGGCTGTCCTCACAAGATAAGAGGAAAGGCGAGAAGATCAGGGTGGAGCTCACTACACCAGAGGTTCCTGACTCCAGGGTAAATGATGTCACTGAGAAGTCCTGTGATAGCTGATAAAGATTGAAAGGGGGGTCAAAAGTCCCCAAATTTAGTATATATAATAGAGCTGATGAACAGGGATTCAGCCAGCGGAAACAAGGATGCACTCAAGCTGGAGAGCCTGATGAGGACCTGACATCCCATCACTTGTCATCGTTTCCTGATCCTCTGCGTGATCCTCACCACTCTTCAAACCCTACAGCCTCCTCTGGACCCTGGTGAGAGCCACAACTTCTCCCTAGGAACCTCTCCTCAACCCCTTGTCCACTCCACACCAGGAAAAGCCTGCCTTGGTTCCGGACCTGGTCATCTCGATCTAAGTGAGTGTACATCTGCTGGACATAAAGCCTAAGGTTTAAGACTTTTAAACTTAGCATACAGAAGAAATATCTGTCATTAGCCTGTCATGATTAAGTGTGTTTATAGTACTTACAATTAATCTAGAATTGTTTGCAGTGAATTGATTATGTCTATTGCAGTGCCTAACATTAAGGATTGTTGTTTTCTGGATTAAGAACCTATAGAGTGGAATTATATTGAGTAATTTGAGTGAAAAAAGCATTGAAAGGGGCAAAAGCTCATGGACATTCCTTATTTCTCCCCTCAACTGCATATGTTGCAATTTTGCCCTCTGACAACAAAAGGAAAAAGTAATTACTGAAAAGAAGATTATATTTTAAACAAACTCTAGTTTGTGAAATGATTCATATTTGCCACATTCGTTAATTAATAAATTTTTGTTAAATATGTAAAACAGTAGAATAAAAGAAGATGGTTAAAGATCCACTTTTGCTCAGGTGGATGCTGTTTGAGGAAGCAGGTACAGGCAAGGTGAACAGAGAAGGACAAGCATCTGGTACCTAATTAGGGCTAGAGATCATGGGGCCTGGAGATGATGGTAAGCCCTCTCCTTTGGTAAATTGGGATATTTCTCTTGGGATTCCTTCTGTGAGAAATTAGGAAGAGTTTTATTTTCCTGAGTTCCTGTTAGTGAGACAGAGTGCCTCAGTAAGAAAACTGACCAGATGTAGTTTCAGGTAATGCGTGGGACCGTGGTTAGCGCTGGACCTGGAACACCAGGTACCGGGTAATTAGGTTTTACCTCTTTAAGGTCCTTCTCTCCGGCCCCGCCCCTCCTGGGCCCGCCTCTTTCAGCCTGTGGGATGGGTTTTCCTTCATTTCCTGCTTCTGAGACCCGGGCGCGCTCTGGTTTCCGGTGTCATGGCGGCCTGAGGTCCCGGGAGCTGGTGAGGCGGCTGCAGGCCCCTCCCTGCGGAGCCGCTGGTCCGGCGGGCGGGGATGTGACCGCGGGTTCTGCTGGCCTGCCTCGGGCGTCCTCTTAGCTCCCGAGTCGGCCCTCAACCCGTAACCATGGCGGGATCCGGCTGTGCGTGGGGCGCCGAACCTCCGCGGTTTCTGGAGGCCTTCGGGCGGCTGTGGCAGGTACAGAGCCGCCTAGGCAGCGGCTCCTCGGCCTCGGTGTATCGGGTGCGCTGCTGCGGCACCCCCGGCTCTCCCCCCGGAGCGCTCAAGCAGTTCTTGCCTCCAGGAACTACCGGGGCTGCGGCCTCAGCAGCGGAGTATGGTTTCCGCAAAGAGAGGGCGGCGCTGGAGCAGTTGCAGGGTCACAGGAACATCGGTAATTGTCACTGTCTCCCTTCTCTCTTTGCTCGGGTCCCAGTCCAAGCATTTACTTCCTCAGCCTGGCTTCCCGTCTTTCGTCCTTTAGGCTGGAGAAGCGGGTCCGGCCTTCTCATTATCTTCTGATGCCGGCCCTTTTCCCATCGTTCTTTCACATTTTTACTGTCTGCAGTCCAGTGGAGTGGTGGTCTGCTCTGTACAGTGTCACATAGTAGATGCTCAGTAAATCCCTTTGACCTCTGGTCTCATCGAAGATTGCTGCACTCGTTAGCATAGAGAAGTATCTTCTTTAGTAAAAGGGAGTATGCCTTTGCCAGATTGTCACGTCTTGTGTGTAAATTTTTGAATCTTTGCATGCCAGTAGAAAATGGGAACTATTCTAGGGTATTGACATCAATGCCAACAACACATAGAGATCAACATATATAGATAGGGTGGATTTGGAAGAAATGACTCAGTATTACATAGGAGTCTTTATGGAAGTGGGAAATTTAAGAACATCTTTCTTTAGTAAGACTGTTTCATGACTCAGATATTCAGAATGTAAGCTCTATAATGATCACTGATGATTGATCTGTGAAAACAGTCTTCATTGTCCTTACACCAACAGAGAACTTACAATTGAATATAGCTTTGGTTAATAAAGGAAAGCCTTACTAACTGGCAAATACTTAATTTAAATATTTAAAGTTTTAAATTTAAAGTGACCTGTTTTATAATACCATATTAGGGATGAATTTCCTAATGTTAGTGCTGCATTTTTTAAAAAAAAAAGTTTTTGGTTTTTTTTTTTTTTTTAGCTTGCAATTTAATGTATCACAATAACCTTGGTGTTGAAGGAAAATTTTTGCAGGCCTCAAGACTTGTTGAATCTCTGCAAGATTAGGTTTAAATGTCATCTAGAAAGAATTAATCTCTTTCAATATTTAGAGTATAGAGTGCTGTTTTGGGTCAAGAAGCAATCTTCAATTTGTTTTGAAGAGAGTTTCTACAATTGGAACTTTTACTTTCAATAATTTTTGGCACCCTAAGTATGTATTTACCCACCACTGAATATACAGTGAAATCAGCTGTTGAAGATTATTATGTCCAAAGTTCTTATTCATGGGAAAAATAATGGAAGCTTGCTTGCTCATCAAAGTTGTCCTCATCTAGATTATCCTAGATTTGTATTGCAAAGTCATCTGCTTTTAGTAATTTACTCTGAGTTTGATTTTTAAATTATTATAATTCATTTCTTTTTCTAGTGACTTTATATGGAGTCTTTACAATCCACTTCTCTCCAAATGTGCCATCGCGCTGTCTGTTGCTTGAACTCCTGGATGTCAGTGTTTCGGAATTACTTTTATATTCCAGTCACCAGGGTTGTTCCATGTGGATGATACAGCATTGTGCCAGAGATGTTCTGGAGGCCCTTGCTTTTCTTCATCATGAGGGTTATGTCCATGCAGACCTCAAGCCACGTAACATATTGTGGAGTGGAGAGAATGAATGTTTTAAACTCATCGACTTTGGACTTAGCTTCAAAGAAGGCAATCAGGTAAGAAATATCTTTTTTTTTTTTTTAATATTTATTTTTTAGGTGTAGATGGACACAACACGATGCTTTATTTTTATGTGGTGCTGAGGATCGAACCCAGGTCCCATGCGTGCTAGGCGAGTGCTCTGCCACTGAGCCACAATCCCAGCCCCGATATCTTTTTTTTTTTTTCCTTACAGTTTAAAAATCTAGTGGTCTAAACCAAATATTCTTAAATAACAAGGGTAGTTTAGTAAGGACTGAAGAGGCATTTCTGTCTAAAATACTGAAATGCCTAGAGTTGAAACAAAGCAAAAAAAATTCAGTGCCATGGGCTGGTGATGTGACTCAAGCGGTAACACGCTCGCCTGGCATTTGTGGGGCGCTGGGTTCGATCCTCAGCACCACATAAAAATAAAGATGTTGTGTCCACCGAAAACTAAAAAATAAATATAAAAAAAATTCTCTCTCTCTCTCTCTTAATAAAAAAAAAAAAAAAAGAAAAGAATTTCAGTGCCACCAAGCAAAAAAAAGAACATATGTTTGTGTCCGGTAGGAAGAACTAGTGAGGTACAAGAGACCTTGGGAATTAATATAAAGACTTAACCTACATAGAATACCTTTTTTTTTTTTAATTTTGTGAGCATTTGGTTAATTGCTGACTTACTATTCCTGGTGTCTTCAGTGTTGGTGCTCTACTTCATGGCAGAATGCATGTGATAGGTTTGGCACAGCCTTCATTCTTAGTTTATCAGCTCTTTGCAGAGTATTCTTATTTATCAGCAGTACTTACTAGGTAAACTATTTAAAGACAACTTCTTTATGAGTAGCAGTGTGAAAAGTGTAGATCTTGCCTGTGAGAACTTCCCTGTTAATGAACCAAAGTATTGTAGTAACCAAAGACTAAAAATTTTGGCATTCAATTTGGCAGTGTTTTACTCCATGTTTAGAGAACTAAATACATTGTAAAGATAGGGCTTTAATGTTGTAATGATGGTGAGCAGCTTTTTATTAGTTGTAATTTGTATTCATTTTCTTTAGGATGTAAAGTATATTCAGACAGACGGGTATCGGGCTCCTGAAGCAGAACTGCAAAATTGCTTGGCCCAGGCTGGCCTGCAGAGTGATACAGAATGTACCTCAGCTGTTGATCTGTGGAGCCTAGGAATTATTTTACTGGAAATGTTCTCAGGAATGAAACTGAAACATACAGTTAGATCTCAGGAATGGAAGGTAAACTGTACTAGTGTTTTGCTTTGGAGTCCTTAATTAATTTAAGTGTATTGAATTTATGATAATTCTAATTGAGGAATCTATTTGCATCCTCTCATCCATACTCTTTTGTCATACTGATAGTACCTTCAGTGCCACTTATCACTCCCATGGCTATCCACAGACTAATGAGCATTACATTTTCACTGTTACTAGATGGATTCTGGCATGTAGTAGTGTTTGATAAAATGTTTGAATTAATGCATTTTCCCAAGGAAGCAAAAGTGATTTTTTTTTTGTTATATTAGGTTCTGAAGTATTACTAATAGAACCATAAGCTGTAAGTTAAATGAATCTTTACATAATGCTTTAAACTTTGTAGTTTTAAAAAGTATTTTAATGCACAATCTCATTCAATTCTCCCAACAATTCTTTAAGGACAGAGTGAATACTGGTTATTTTTGTTTTGGAAATGAAAACTAGAGGCAAAGATAGGAAAGCTTGCTCCATATTATATAGTTAAGTGTTCTAGACTTGGCTCCCAAATTTTGTTCCTCCTACTCAAAAGTTAGAGTATTTTCCACAGTTCCACATTATGTTGTAATTTATTTATATACCATGGGTGAATATGGTGTAATGACCCCTATTTATTTCATTGTTTCTGTGAGAACATGGGTTCTAAGTTCTAAACTTCTGATCTTTGAATGAACTATTTTGTATGTTTTCTTATGTTATACACATAAGAAGAAATAACTACAGCATGTTTTCAAACATATTTTGGGACTTTAATGTTTTGATGACATTAGTATTCTTTCACTTAGATGTTTGATAAATAATATAATGCTTTCAAATTATTAGCTTTGATATTAAAGGACAGTATTGGATATTAAGTGTTTAAATATTAAGCAACAATTATTTTTTTGAGCATCTAATACATAGTTTATGGCTATTATAATATAGAGAGTTTTATTTTCATTAATTTCCTCCCTCCCAAGGAGTACTTAAGAGCCTAGCAGACATACCTCAATGCCTATTTTTGGCCAAAAAATGCTGCCATGGGAGTAAAAGCAGTATTTTTTTTTTTTTAATCCCAAACAGTTCAGGAGACTATTTAGTCCAGAGGCTGAGTATTATTCCTCTAGTGCTAATTCAAGTGTAGATCTATTACTTGAATTAGCTTTGACTATCTTTGAACCCCTGGATTGTATCTGCTTGACCCAGAGCTCAACAGAACTGGATTATAGTAAAGTTTGTGTGAAATTTGGAGGCATGATATGTACTAATGGAATCCCAAATATAAGCCTATCAAGGTAAAACATCTTTATTTTGTTTTACCACTTTTACAGAGACAGAATTGCCAGGTGGACTCTGAAGTCAAACTATTGGGGTTCATATCTTGTTTTCACCTCTTACTAAGTTATTTATTTGGATTTGTTAAACCATAGTTAACTTTTTTGTAAATTTGGGGTAGTAATAACATATCTCCTGTGAGTATCAAGGTTTAAAAAGAAATGCTAACTTAGTTTTTAGCATATTTAATGGCCTATAATAGGCATTCAATAATTTTTGGTGATAGTGATGGTATTAGGTCTTTTTACTCATATACAGTTTTACATGCTGAGTTAGCATAGTACTCAAGAAAAAATTTTATATTCCATGAAGATTTAAGGTATGAATAATGTGACAAATAGTAACACTCTCATTTTCTGAGTGACAGTTTTTCTGTCTGAAAATCAGTTGAAGACTCAGTCACTAGACACACTGATTCACCCATTACACACTCATTTTCTCACTTTAAACTACATTTTATTTGGTTCTTCAGTTTTATTCATTCATCTAGAGGTTCATTAGTGCCACATATAGTTAGGTGCTAAGAATGGGGAAAAAAAAGTTCCTTGTCTCTAGAAAGTTATGATTATATATATAGTCCTCTCCATTAAGATTATAAGCTCTCAGAATGTTTTCTGTTGCATGTTATTCACTAAACAGTGTTATATGCCTAGTAGTCAATAAATACAAACTGAATTTAATAGCCTAAGGAAGATGTTTCTTCTTTTTTTTAGGCAAATAGTTCTGCTATTATTGATCACATATTTGCCAGTAAAGCAGTGGTGAATGCCGCAATTCCAGCCTATCACCTAAGAGACCTTATCAAAAGGTACATTGTCTGTGCTGTAAATTTACTTTGTGTACATTTACAATGTGAAGCCTTTTTTTCCTGAATGGATTTATTATTTGTGATTTTCTTGATCTTGTAAAGGTTTTACTCCCTTAGAAATAAGAACTTAAGATATTCTACATAGGCTAGCTTCTTATGAGAACCAAAAATATTTAAGTACTTTTACAAAATTTGGTTTCAAAGGAATGTTCTTTTGTTCATGGTGGGTCCCATATGTTAAGTTCTTCCTTAGTTATTTATTCACCAGAAGATAGATGCTGGGGCATGTACTTTTGACCTCTTGTGTACTCTTCATACTTGATGGAAAATATATTTTTTAAAAGAGGATCTTTAATAACTGAAGGCTGAGTGTGCTTTTGGACTTCAGGAAAAAACTCTTGAATAAGGTAGGTTTAATTATATTTTGTAATTACTACCAGAACTCTCTGGGAACAGAGAGAGAAAGAGCATTTCCAATATTTGAATAGCTCCAAATACAGTAGGTGTTTTGAAAATAAGAAATATCAAATAATGGGCTTTTGGGTTTTGAGCCCCCTTGGTGGGCTTGAAATGAATAAACAAGTATGCCAGAAAAGGGTGAATCTCTTGGTTAAGTAAGCATCTTAGAGTTTCTTTGGAATTTGGCCCTATATACATTCAAATTAGGTGTTTTTAAAAAAATTTATTTTTAATTAATTAAGATTCAACAGACAGTTGGAAAAGTCTTAGAGTCCAAACTTTATCCAGTTCCTCCCAATAACATCCTATATTACTGTAACACAGAATCAAAACCAGTAAATTGACATTGTTATAATTCACATAATTTATTTAGGTCTAATTTTATACATATTTATATGTATGTATTTTTAAATTAGTCTTAAATAGCTGTTTAGAAACTGATTGATATTGCATTTTCCATTGCAATTACAAATTGCATTTTCCATTGAAGAGATAGCAGTGTAAAATTATGTAATTGATTTTGGCCAGTAAGTCAAATAGATTTAAGTTCTAGTTTTGAATACTTTTTTAAGTAATAACTTACCTCCTGCCCTTTCAATAATACTAATAATACTGAATATGGAAATTACCAAAAATTTTGATAAGGAAAACAAAAATATAACCCAGACTTCTAATGGTAGCATTTTGGTGAATTTCCTTATGTTTTCTGCATATTGAATTTTGTGTCCATGCAGCTTGTTTGAACCTTTTTTTTAATGTAGTATAAAACAGATACTAAAATGCTAGTGTGACAACATGTATATGCGGGAACATTGTAATCACTATTCAGATCAATAAATAAAACTTTGCCAGTTACCCCTGCACTTCTCTATATATCTAGTCCCTATTTCAAGACTCTATTCCGCCCCTAATAGTAACCACTATGCTACATTTGTGGTAATCACTTCCTTGATTACATTATAGTTTTATTACCCAAGTGTACATCCATAAGATGTTTAGTTTTGCTCTTCTAAAAAAAAAAAATTATTTTCAGTCTCTTAATCCAAAGGGTACCTTTCCATCTCTTTCGCTTTTTCCCCCACATTTTTTATTGGTGCATTATAGTTGCACATAACGATGGGATTTGTTGTTATATATTTGTACATGCACATACTATAATTTGGTCAATATCCTGCCCTGGCACTTCCTCACTCCCCTCCTTTCACCCTTTGGTCTGTCCTTTCCTCTACTGATTGATCTCCCTTTGATTTTTATGAGACTTGTCCCCACCTTTCTTTTCCTTTTTTATCACTAGTTTCTGCATATGAAAGAAAACATATGATCCTTGACGTTCTGAGTATGATTTATTTTTTGCTCAACATAAAGGTCTCTAGTTCCATCCATTTTCCTGCATATGAGATAATTTCATCTTTTTTTTTTAAATGGCTGAGTAAAACTCCATTGTGTGTGTGTGTGTGTGTGTGTGTGTGTGTATTTAATCCATTCATCTATTGATGGTCAGCTAGGCTGGATCTCAGTAATTTGGCTCTTGTGAATTGTGCAGCTATAAACATGGGTATACATGTCTGCTTCCCCCCAACCCTTTTAACATATTTATTGTACAACCTGGATGTTGGCTCTGTATAGTTTTTCATAACCCAGATCTTACTGATTTTTGTATGATTATAATTTCACATAATTCTTGGTTTTGTGTGTGTGTGTGTGTGTGTGTACGTGTACATCATACACATGTGCTGTTGAGGTTGGACCACCAGGGCATTGTGCGTGCTAGGCAAGTGCGCTACCACTGAGTTGTACCCCTTGCCCCATATATCTGTTTATTCTTATAAATTGATAGATATATCTAGAGGGTTTGATTAATTTTTTCAAGGCTGTAGATAGTATTGTGTTCTATCATAAGTTGGCACATAATGTTTATCTCAGTTTTATGAGTTAGTAATTGTTGGTTCTTGATGCTTACATCCATTAGAGATGTTGATGCTCTTAATCTGCCATTTGTTCTTCATTTGGTTAACCAAAAACAAAGTTAAAAACTTGATTCTCTCTTTACTAGTTTTCAATATGATGAATTGGTTCCTGTCAGCCTCCAAAATAGATTATTCTTTTTTTAAAAAATTCAAAGATTTGGGAGGGAGCAGGGGATTAGCCAGGATGGTAGAATTTGATAGACATCATTATCCAAAGTACATGTATGAAGATACGAATTGGTGTCAACATACTTTATATACAACCAGAGAGATGAAAAATTGTGTTGTATATGTGTAATAAGAATTGTAATGCCTTCTGCTGTCATTTATTTTTTTAAAAAAAAATTCAAAATTGCAGGGCATGGTGATACAGACCCTTAATCCCAATTGCTTGGTAGGCTGAGGCAGGAGGATTGCAAGTTTGAGGCCAGCCTGGGCAACTCAGACCCAAGGTCAAAATAAAACGGGCTGGCAATGTAGCTCAGTGGTAAAGAGCACCTGGGTTCAATCCCTAGCACTTGGGGAAAAAATTCTTTTTTTCTTAACTAGTTAATTTATTTTAATTAGGTAGGTGTGACAGCAGAATGCATTTGGATTCATTGTACATAATTGCAGCACAACTTTTCATGTCTCTGATTGTATACAATGTAGCGTTGCACCATATGTGCAGTCATACCTGTACCTAGGGTGTCCATCTCATTCCACCACTTTTCCTGTCCCCCATACCCACTCCCATCCCTTCCATCCCCTTTGCCCAAAGTTCCTTCATTTTACCATACCTTGCTCCCCACCATTATGGATCAGCATTCATTTATCCGAGAGAACATTCCGCCTTTGGTTTTTTGGGATTGGCTTACTTTGCTTAGGATGATAACCTCCAACTCCATCCATTTACCTGCAAATGTCATAATTTTATTATCTTTTAATGCTGAGTAATATTCCATTGTGTATATATACCACAATTTCTTTATTCATTCATCTATTGAAGGGCATCTAGGTTGCTTCCACAATTTATCTATTGTGAATTGAGCTGCTGTAAACATTGATGTGGCTGCATTAATAGTATTCTGATTAAGTCCTTTGTGTATAGACTGAAGAGTGGGATAGCTGGGTCAAATGGTAGTTCCATTCCAACTTTTCTAAGGAATATCCATACTGCTTTCCAGAGTGGTTGCACCAATTTGCAGTCCCACCAGCAGTGTATGAGTATGCCTTTTCCCCCACAACTTTGCCAACACTTATTGTTTGTATTCCTGATAACTGCCCTTCTGACTGGCATGAGATGAAATCATAGAGTAGTTTTGATTTGTATTTCTCTAAATACTAGAGATGTTGAACATTTTTTCATATATTTGTTGATCAGTTGTATATCTTTATGAGAAGGATCTGTTCAGCTCCTTAGCCCATTTATTGATTGAGTATTTTGGTTGTGTTTTTTCTTTTTTTTGGTGTTAAGTTTTTTGAGTTCTTTATATATCCTGGAAATTAGTGCTCTATCTGACGAGTGTGTGGCAAAAATTTGCGCCCAAAATGTAGGCTCTCTTTACCTCATTGATCGTTCTGTACTACAAAGCTATATAACAGAAACAACATGGTATTGGCACAAAAATAGACATGTAGACCAATGATACAGAAGAGAAGACACAGAATCAATCCCACATAAATACAATGATCTCATACTAGACAAAAGAGCCAAAAACATACATGGGAGAAGAGATAGCCTCTTCAACAAATGGTGCTGGGAGAACTGGAAACCCATATGTAGCAAAATGAAACTAAACTCCTATCTCTCACCATGCACAAAACTCAAAGTGGATCAAGGACCTAGGAATTAGACCAGAGACCCTTTACCTAATAGAAGAAAAGGTAGACCCAAATCTTAATAACGTCGGATTAGGGCCTGACTTCCTTAAAGGATTCCTAAAGCACAAGAAATAAAATCAAGAATTAATAAATGGGAGAAAAAAAAATCTAAGATCATTATAAACTTAAATATATTTAATGGACTTAAATATATTTGATGTGCTACAATCCATTCCAGTTTTTATCCTGTTCAAAGCTGAAACTATCTCATCCTTTATGAATGGGAAATCTCCATATATTGGTTTTGGCAGACATTATTTTTGATAGCTTCTTTTTTGTGTAATATTAAAAGATGTTCTCATTATTTTATACATTTTTTGCCCCAGACCTAGACTTAGTCATTTTTCCAAGAAGCCTGGTTTCTTTTAGTATTTTAAAACTACGCTCTGGGTATTAGGAATACCCCTTACTGCTGGGGTGGTCATTGCCTTTATACATTTTAAGTTAATGGAGTTCATGCTGATATTTCTAATTCAAATTCATGAATAGAGGTTTTTACTTTCCTTCTATTTTATATTTGTATCTTCTTTCTTCTACATCAAGATTCTGGTTCTTAAGGACAAAAAGAATGCCAGAATTAGAATATAATAATGAAGTTAGGATCTTTCATACTTTCTCATTTCACCATTTTATCTTTTTCCCCCCTTAAAAAGTCTATTAATTTTACCAGAATATATCTTAATTTGATTGTTTCAGTAGTTTCAGGAAACTGAGATGCAGTTCAGTGTGTAATTCATATCTTAGAAAACTGTTTTTAAATTATACAGTTTTTAGTATTTTGTTCTATGTAATTTTTCTCTTCCCAGGCACTCATATGAATGTTGGATTTTCTTCCTCTAAATTCAGTATTATGACCACTCTTTGAATCTTTTTTTCTGTCTTCCATTATTTCTTTTTGATTTTTAAAAGTGTTCATATTTCTGCATTTTCTATTTTTTGCAGTTTCTCTACAATAATCTTATTTTATTAAATCTTTTTAAAATTTCTAATTATTTCCTGAGTTTTCTTACCTAAGTTTTGAGACTAATTTTGATTTTTATTACTCTTTTAATCATATATTATTTAAAATGCCAGCTTATTTTTAAATGGTAGATTATAGTATTCCTTCATATTATATTCATATCTTTCCAGCATATGAGCACTGTCTGAGAAGTATTATTTTATAATTCTTTTATATATAATAAATTAGTTATAATTCTTTTTATTGTTACACATTTTTATGTGAAGCTTATTTTCCTAAACTTGTAGAAGGTATAGTAGGGACAACTTTTCTAATTATACAAAGCTTGCTTTTTTTTTTTTTTTTTTTAAATAATGCAATGTTAAAGTCTTTTTCTGAGATCTCCTGCCCCTCCCCCACCCTTTGCTGTTTTCTGGTCTCTTGTCTTGCTCAGAATGGATTCTATTCTGATTTCTTCTCATTGTGGGATTTTGCTAGTTTGTTTTAAGAGGTATTAGTGTCTGGATTATTCCACTCCTTCAAATTTTACAGAGGCTGTCTTATCTTCACCTCGTATTAAAAAATATAGTCCGGGGTAGTTTTAGCTGTTTTTATCAAATTCCCTGCTGTGTTACCCAGTGAGTCTCTGATGGCCATTTTGGGTTATTCTTTTTTTCTGGTTCATCAGATGAACAGTTGCTTTCCTCTGCTTTCTTACACATAGATGCTGATATGGTACAAGTCTTCTTGCTGTTGATCTTTAATCCCTATATTTTGTTGGAGATGGGTTTTTGGTTTTGCTCAAGTTGTTTTATTATCAGGGAAATTTGACAAGATTCATAATTACCCTGCCACTATCTTCTTTTTTTATTGTGTTACCCTGAATCTTTGTCTGACTTTTTGTCACTTAGTGTTATAGAATGTGGATCACTTTCTCATTGTTTCATTTGTTAATCAAAATCATTATTTAATCATAGTATGATATATTATAGATGTGTTATGATTTATTGTACCATTTACTCATAATAACATTTTATAGGTGAATGATTCAATAAACCATGCTAGTATAATTAATGCTGTGATGAACTTTTTTTTAAAAATTGTTACATTTTTCAGAAGATTTGACAGTTATTGTAAAGACACTGATTTTTATGTCTTAGCATGCTTCATGATGATCCAAGCAGAAGGATTCCTGCTGAAATGGCATTGTGCAGTCCATTCTTCAGCATTCCTTTTGGTAAGCTGTATATGTCTTTATTTTTTTCCATCAATTTATTTGCGGGGGAGGATTTACATTTAACCATATTTTAATGAACTTTAACAGCCCCTCATATTGAAGATTTGGTGATGCTTCCTACTCCAGTCCTAAGATTGCTCAATGTGCTTGATGATGATTATCTTGAGAATGAAGAAGAATATGAAGGTCAGTGCTACCTAAGTTATATTTTAATGTGTCTCTCTTAATTAAGTCTGGAGTAGACATATATTCAAAAGATTCTCTTATTTTTCCTAACTTACAGGAAAGTTTAATGAGAATATTGAACTATATGATCTTTAAAATACACCTTTTGAATAAGGTCCTTTTGGCTCTTTTAGATCTTTACTAAGTTAATTAAGAAGGTTAGTTTCTCCAGCAACTCTCTCTCTCTGGTCTGTTTTTTCTGGCCCTTCTCCATGCTTCATTTCTTCTTTTTAGTTTTCTTTTTTGCTTTTAGCAATTCATTCACTCAAGACCTATTTACTATTTACTGTGTGTCATTGTGGGATTACTGTTTTTAATATAGTAAGGGAGTAGTTGTGATAATCTGAGAGTAGGGTAACATACAGGAGGAGAGGAGAAGTGTTTAACCCAGTCTGAGTGATTGGTGAGGGTTTGTCTGTAGATGTCAAATCTGAGCTCAGTTAGAGTTGCTTGGTTAAAAGTTGGAGGGGTTGAAGAAGAAGTAACATAAAGAGATAAACAGAAAGTGTGGCAAATTCAGAGAACAGCAAGTTGGCATGACTGTATCTTGAGATATATGAGGGAAAAGCAATTAGTTAAAACTGAAATGGTAGCTGAAGTATAGATATCTAACAGACTTGATTGCTGTGTTTGAGAATTTGGATTTTATCCAAGAGATAGTAACACTGGAACATAACCTACATGAAAGAACACATTGTAGGCCCTCAATATTTATCTTAGAAAGGAAAGAAATGCTAATTAAAACCAACTGTAGTGTCTTTGTTACCCAGGACATTATCAGTGATTAAAAACATTTGATTGATACTCTTGTTGGTAAGGGTGTAAGAAAATAAGATATTCTCATATATTACTGGAGAAAGTTTATACTGGTAAATCTTTATGAAAGGCGGGTTGATAATTCTAGCAATTACTAATTTATGTCAGTTTTTACCAGCAATTCCATTTCTAGAATATCAACTGAGAAAGACTCAGATGAAGTGAGATATGTATAAATTTATCTATTGCAGTATTGTTTATAGTGTCAAAAAGTTTAGAAACAGTTTAATTATTCATGAATAGGAAACATACCAGGTAATTGATTGAACATTCATAGAGTAAAGTACTGCTCAATCAAAAAACAAATGAGAAGATTTTATATAATGATATAGAAAACTCTGATAGATATATTGTTTAATAAAGAAAATACAAGATTTAAATTCTTACTTTAAGCTTATAAAATCAAATTTACTTATATAAGCTGATGATATTTATGGCAGGATACAGAAGAAACTGATAATGTTTGTTGCCTTCAAAAGGGCCATAAAATAGCAATTGGGAACATGGGAGGAAAATTAAATACTTATTTTTAAAAATTTTGATTTATTATTGAGTGTTTCAACTATTCAAAACTTTAAAGTTAAAATATAGAAGGAAAAGTATTTAACTATATACTTAAGCTTTATTTTTGAAGATAGGGAAAGTGATTTCATTACTTAGATTTGTATTCCTGAATTCTTTGATTTTAAATTCTCAAATGATGAATGATTATTAATACATGAAAGTGGTTGCTGTTTTGTGTTTTAATACCAGATGTTGTAGAAGATGTAAAAGAGGAATGTCAAAAATATGGACCAGTAGTGTCTCTGCTTGTTCCAAAGGAAAATCCTGGTAGAGGGCAAGTAAGTGAATGTATTCATAATTTCAGTATTATTCAGATCTTATTGAAATTTTTCATTAAGTGTGTTGTATAGAAAAACACACAAAAATTAGTAGTTTTGCTTTATGAATAATTATTACTTTCTTGTCTTTTACTTTTTAAAAAAGTTCTATAGTGTGCTTGCTTTTATTTATCATTTAATTTTTGTTAGGCTATTTTATAGTTCTGTGAACTGATAGTATACTTACACAAACCTAGATAATAATAGCCTTTGAAATACCTAGGCTATGTGGTATTGTCTGTTGCTGCTATCCTTTAAACCTGTACAGCATGTTACTATACTGAATACTATAGGCAGTTGTAACACAACAGTAACAGTACAACAGTACAACAGTAACAGTGTTGTATCTCAGCATAGAAAAGGTACAGTAAAAAACTGAGCAGTATGAATATTTCAGCTCTATTGTAATCTCTTGGGACCTGAAAACATATTTATGTGGAATGTGACTAGCATATTCATTAAAGTTGTTAAAGCACTGATCTAAAACAGTTAGGGACATGAAGCTTCTTTGTTTTTTTCTCTCCTTTCAGGTGTTTGTTGAGTATGCAAATGCTGGTGATTCCAAAGCTGCTCAGAAATTACTAACTGGAAGGATGTTTGATGGGAAATTCGTTGTGGCTACATTCTACCCGCTGAGTGCCTACAAGAGGGGATATCTTTATCAAACCTTGCTTTAATTAGTAACCTAAGGACTATTTCCTGTTTCTCCTCTTCCATTTCTTGGATTATTGTATTCCACATCTGAATGCAGGAGTACTCCTTTACCATTTCAAGGGAATACTTCATATATTTATTTATCCTACTAATGTGCAGTCATTGCCCAAGCAATGTTGCATAAAAACATTTGGCACCGAGTAGGACAAGACCTCTCAGCTATACATTGAGGGGTTTTAGAGCATCCATGTTGGCAACCTTTTCTCGTGCAGTAGGGCAGGTGCTGCTCTTAAGTATGTAACCTAAACAGATATTAGTTATTTCACGTGACTATGAAGCAAAGGTGAATAATATGTTGTAGTGAGTATTATTAAATTTGTTAGGGTTGGTGACATCAATTACAGATTATTCCTTTATGTTATCAGGTGGTTCTTATTGTTGATATCCATATCTGGCACTGGATGCTATCGATAATGTTAAGTAATTGTCAAGCCCCAGTTACCTACTGTGTTCTTAACACTGAGTTGTGAATTTTTTTAAAGGAGTACTGTAGTACTTAATATTCCTTTAAAGAAACTGCAGTGAGCCTATCTACATTTTTTTAATATTATTAAGGCTTTTAAAATAGAAAGCTGATGCTTGATCTTGCACAATTTTTATGTCTAGTATGTTTGCTTGAGTGAATGTGCAGGTGTGAAAGACTAGAGAAAACTTGAGTCAGTGTACTTTATAGTGTGAGTCTTGTGAGCTAATACAGTCTATACCCATCTCTTCCCTATCTGTTTCACACTTGTAAGATTTAAGATGTATGTGTTTTAAAATTGGTCTGTCTGATAGAATGTAAATGACAAAACAGTCATTCCTGAGAGGCTGAGAACAAACTGGAGTCTCTAGATCAGAGTTGTATTGAAACTATTAATTCTATTGGAACAAAGTAAGTTTAGGTACATGTTAATTATCTCATCCTTCAATCTTCTTTAAACATTTGATTGGCTCATCTTTTTATACTAAATCTCCTGTGATAACTGTTAGATTTCTCAAAATGTGATTCTACCAAGTAGGATGGAAAACTGAAGTGGATCACCAAAAAAGTGGGGGCGGGAGGGACAAAAAAGCAAAGAGGACAGATAATCAAGGATCCTTTTTTTTTACTTCCTTTTATCTCTCACTTACTTTCCCAGCATGCCCTTGTCTTCCCTTTCCTCTATGCTCTACCTCTGTGCTTAATTGAAGACAAGCTAGAGGAACATCATCGCAAGTGGTCTGGTTTTTGACTTTAGGAAGTAAAGAAAGGTGAAGATTTAAGACAAATGGAATTAGAAGAAAGAAAAATTCAAATCTTAGAAGGATTTATAGCAATCAAATGTTTTCATGAGTAAAAGTTGCCAGTATGCATGAGTTTATGGATACAGGTTGATTACATGGTTTTAAGGATTATAATTATGAATTTTTCTCATTTTATGATTGTCCTTAAAGGTATAAAAATTAGGAAACCTTTGTAAAGCACTGATTGTACAAAAAAAAAAAAAGGACAAGTTATGTACAGATTATGGATTTTTTTCTATTTTCTTACCTAAATGAAATTTTTATTTATTAATTTTTTTTCCCTCAGGAAAAAGTCTTTTATATCTTTCCCTGTTGGAAGCCTCCTCATGTAGGCTTTTCTTGTTGTGCCATGCAAATTATTGAGAGCCCAATTAGAATCTGTATTATAGGGCATGAATTATTTTGCCTCTTCACACAATCACTATTTGACATTTTAGTTGTTACCAAATTATTCAGGGCTCTCCCTTAATATTTATTATGAAGCCAAATTTGGTATAAGGAGGCTGACTTATGAATTACCAAAGGGTCTTATACTATCATCCCTGATACATGCCCCTAGGAAGAATAACTATCCTTTTTTATTTTGGCTCTTTTGAGCATTGATTGATTGATTGGTTTGTTTTCAAGTCAGAATTGAAGGGTAGAACCAATATTGTGATGACCTAAGCTTTCCAAAAGCATAATTCTTTATATGGCTAGCTGCTTCTTAGAAACAGTAGGTCCTTATGCATATTCCATTAAAAACATTCTACAGATGAATTCTTTCTATGGGCAAGTATTCTAGGCTAGCACATGTACCTCTTTCCCCTACCCCTAAAAAAAAAAAAAAAAATAGAAAGAAAAATCCTTGCAAATAAACTGCAGATAGGCTTTTAAGCTTAGTCATGCAGTATGCTGCTAACATTGATGCTGTACTTCACAGCATTCTTTGATCATCTTATTGCAGATGTATTCATACATATATTAGTGTTTAACACTGTAGAATTTTATTTCAGAAGATGCTAACTAGATTTTTAAGGGAGCTGAAGAAATAATTGATGAGTCTAAGTAACCATGCATTGAATTAAATATTTTATATGAAAGCCACGAAATTTTAAAAAAGATACCTACCATAACTTAAATTATCATTTATAGCTCTTAGCCCATTCTACCAAAGATGATCTTTGCAGATTCTCCCTCCCTCTGATATTATCAGAAGTTTAATCTAAATATCTTCTTAAACTGGAAACAAAATATTATGCAATTTTCTTGATTCTTTAAGGATAAAATACACAGGAATTCTTCAAAGTTATTGAAAACCTAGAAATTTTCTTTCTGAGAAGCAGGGTAAAGAGGTGAGGTTTCATGTCACTTAACCCCTACCCTTGGGGACAAATTTTATCTCAGGTAGTTTTCCTTTCCCTAAAATAATACCTGTGCTTCTTTCCCACTCACCTTCCCAATTTCTTCTTTATTGTAACATGGTATAGCCATGGTACATTTCACCCTAGAAAAGGCATATGAATTGTTTATAGGAAATTTTGGGTTCTTTAGAAGCATATTTGGAAGAAGTGACTAACTAGCCACTATTCAAACTATAATGCTGTATTTAGAGAAGAACAAGAAGAGTAAGACACCTCAATGAAATAGCACTAGCTAAAAGTATTGGCTGCATTTTAAAGGAATCGAAAAAATTTGTCCTTTTGCAATAAGAGATCTGCATTTATCACTACTGAATGTCTTCCTTGTTGTATGGCCATCAACATAGCAGCTCTCTTTAGAGAAATTCCTTTTCTGCTGTACCTTGAGCCAAAACTATGGCTGCTTTTAGAACAAAAACCTTAAGTATACTTTTATTCATCCTTCTTTTTGTTTTAATTGAGAGAAGTGTGGCCTTCTTTTTGGTACTCCAGCTGCTAAAGAGTGTTGAGATATGCTAACCTGCCAGCAGCAATGCTGCCACATGGAGGAAGTTGAAGAAAAACTACAGGCCTGATACTTGATTCTGTCTTGTACACTGGACTATCCATCCCCCTGGTAAGGGCATCAAGTTACTCATATTATGTTTCATGGCTCTTTTTGAGTTAATTCATCAAATACAGGTGACTAACATCATTTTCTTAGGCTTGTTTTCTGACTTTCTAAATTAGGCTTATCTTAACATAATTTTACTATCAGTTATGCTTGGCAGCATGGCATTTTTAAAAATAATTATTGAAAATCTCTGCAGTAACTGATAATAATTAAAATAATACAGTTACTGGGTGAGGGAGCCAGGGAGACTCTCAGTAACCACGTTTTACCTAGACTCTTATGCAAGAGTACATGCTGGGTGGTTTTATTCAGATTAGGGTACAGATGGAATCACATCATGGCTTTTAGTCTGGAGGATGTGTAGATAGTTAAGGATTTGAGCAAGTGCCTTTTGTATCCTGGGAAATATTAACACTCATCTGGGTGAAAGCTTCCCAGATGATGATTAATTGCACCTCCAACTTTTTCTGGAAAGAACTTTTGGATGGAGTCATATAATGTTAAAAAGTCCAAAATTTCCTTGGTATCTTTTTTTTCTGTTATATGTAAAACTATCATATTTAATTTTATTCCAGTATTATGTCTGATGGAAAAGCCAGGTATCTGGCAGAAAATTCTTCCCTGGATCTAGCTTCATTTTTTAATGGCAGATTCCTTCCTCAAATTTTACTACTCTAGCTCTCTATTTCAAGTGTGATCACAATCAGACCAGTCTTTAGTCATAGTTAGCTCAAAAGAATTCCCATTTCTTAAGGTGCTCACTGAATCACCTTTATTTTGAGATGGTAGTCTGTCAAGTTAGAATTCATTAGTAGCCTTCTCAATGAATATACAAATGTTGAGTATTCATGATAGGGGAGCTCATCTGAGGCCTATGGTTATATTTAGATTTTATATTAATCATAGAGGAACATGGACATTTTGATTTTTAGAATACCCAGAGTTTTAAAGATTCAAGTTAGCTTCTTTTCTACCTGATACCACAGAATGTATCATGTTATCATAGCCACTTTCCCCAAATGTTAATATTTTTGAATTATGTGATGACCAGTAAGTAGATTCACAACATATTCAGTTGACAAATATTATGGATATTTAAGAAGGTAAACAATTTTAAATATTTTTGCTGTGATTTTTATAGGAGAAATGGGCTGTAAAAGAAATATCTGTGAGCTGAGAGCATTTAGGAAATTTTATATTTTATAGGTGATCATTAAGGTGATCTTCAGGATATAAGATATATAGTTTACACAAACTTTGTTCTCCTAATATGAGGTTCTTATTATTTTCTTATAGCTAGCACTTTCATTATTCTTTGTACTGCTTATGAAGATTATTGTTTTAAATTTGCTTTATTTGCGCTTTTCAGATAGTTGTCATAATCATGGCAGTTGTGCTTGTGGCACCATAAATGCTGGAATTCATGGGAAACTTACCAAATGATTGCCCCTATTTTATTTCCCATTAAATTGGGTAACTACCACAGTAACCTGAAGAAAACTTGATGACTTTTTGAAGACCATGTATATTTTATGAACTGAGTTCATAATATTTTAATTTAAAGGCAAAGAGAAACATTCTAATTTACCTTACATGACTATTAATCTTTGTGATGCAGAAGAGAACTTATTTTGTTATACTACTTTGTATAATGAAAATAAGTCACATTCTGGGAAAAAAAAAAAACAAAACCCAGAATTGTTCTAGTTCTTTTTGTTTCTTTTTAGGAAGTCCTCACATAAAAATCAGAGCTACTTCCTATAGTAAGCTATTAGTGAGAATTATTTGTAGTCACCCTTTTTATCCCAGATTGCCTTCCTCTTTTAATTTATTTCCCCTTTAATTACATTCATGATATCAGGACAGTGAGTATATAAAAACAAATGTAGTGAGGTATTCTCAAATCATGCATATATGAATTCAGAATTTCTTCAGTTATTAAGATTATCTATAGTTATTTTGTTGGCATATATTTTCAGAAGATTGCCAAATTTAAGGGTTAAAAAAAATAGATGAGGGGAAGAAAATGACTCCCTGAGTGGTATTTATAATCTTATGTATACTAATCATTTATTTTTTAAAATCTAGACTGGGTACCTGCATTGCCTTTCCTATACATTCCTTGTTGTTACTTTCCCAGAAAATTATTTTAAGAGTTTATAAAATCAGATTAAATATCCATTTTCAGTTTATCCTGATTTTTAATAATAAATATTGGAATTCCAGCTTTTTTGTATTTGGTGTTCACTAACCTGTCATGCACATCGAGGATCAGAAACTGGGGATCAGCCATCTCTCTGTTTCCCTTTGCATATTGGGTTCAGTGAGTGGCATTAGAATGCACTAGCTGCAAAGTTACAGCACCTTATGGAACTTAAATAGTGTTTATTTATTATAATTTTTAAAAGTTAATCTGCACTTCTGGAGATTACTTATTTTACAGAGAGTAAAGCTGTCACATTTTGTCCAGAAGGATTTACTCTTTTCATTCTTAATTTTTTTTCTGAAAAATTTCAAATAACTTAACATTCCTTAACAGTGTGGAATCTGGGGTACAAGGGATTCCCATACCCACCCCCCAAAGGCTCCATCTTTGCTATATTTTAACCACTCTTAGAAATCCCATTGTAATCAATAAATTTTAAGTCTATGGCCTCCTGTGTCAGCACTGGAGTGGTTGGTTGTGAATAGTAAAATCCATTTCCCCTTATGCAATTGCTATGTTTTTGATTGAGTAGGTGTCATTACAAAATATGTGAAAGATCACTTAAACTAAAGCCAGTTATGAGGAGTGTCCTCTTTTGGAGGTTCACCTTCACCTCAGAACTGCAAGAATATCACCTTGCACAGTGAATAGCTGTCTATAACATTTCTACCAGTTGTTTCAGTAGCAAATTGGTCTTGGCATTTCTTGGCACTATGGTCTCTGATCTTTGTGATGTCTTATAGTTTGTGAGTTGTTTTTTTTGTTTTTGTTTTTAACAAATAAGTGGGACTATAAATGTAGATGTATGTCAGTACCAAGAAGTTCTTTTCAAAAACCCCTCAATTTCTGATTTCCAAAGTCTTTCAGACTTGCTGCTTCTTGCTGAGTAGCAAAGAATTTTATTTTCCACTTTCCTATATACCTAAAAAGTATAAACACTGCATTTTGATGGACTGTATTGCGTACTTTTTGCTGAAAACTTTTTCTGTAAACACAATTGCCTTGTTCAGTTTTGTTGTAAACTGACTTACCATAAGATGCACTGTTGATATGCTTTCTGATGTGTGTTTGATAAGAGTGATAAAATAAAGCTTAAAAATAAAATAATTGGTTTTTCATTTCCAGTATTTTGTACTTATGTAATATATAAATATATACTATAATATTATAAATATATACATATAAGGTATATATATGTGTATATATATATATACTTCATATTCAGATAAGAACTTAATGTAGTTGTGATTTAATTTTTCTAAAAAGCTATCATTGAAAAAATTTTTATAATTTAAACTTATCTCTGAAGAATGGTTTTTTCATTTTTGGAATGATACTGAAATGTAGGGATTTTTTTTTTTTTAATGTCCTTCGTATTGTAGAAATAGCCTGGCCTAATGAAATCACAATTGGGATTTGTGTTCTGATCTTGGCTCTATCAAGTTGGATAGCTTTAATCAAGTGACCTGATTTTGACAATTGTTGTATTTTATGTTGTGAGAACCAATAGTAATAAACAGCCTTCAGTTATGGAATATCAACTAGGTGAGGGATACTGTTTTTCATAGTTTATATTATGTTTAATGTTCTGTTTTTACATATGGGAACTGAGGCTCAACATTTCATAAAACTTTGAGATAGTATTCATTTACTAGCCTGCTCAGGAGGGGGACTGATATGTTATTTCAGGAAGTTGATGACTGATCTGATGAGAAATTCAAGGGAAAAAGTAAAGAGGGACACCTTAAGAGACTGTTTTCAGAACTCAGTCTATTGATTACAAATGTTTAAATCAGCAATTTTCACACTATAGTGTAATAGCTGGGAAGGCTTGTTAGAATACAAATTGTTTCCTTACTTCTTCCTGATTTAAAGTTTTTCATTTTATTTCCTATCTCTTCTGCCCATTACTTCAAAATAATAACCTAATCCCCTTAAATTGGCATCTAAGACACAAACTGGCCCCACCTGCTAATCCTGCCTCATCTTGTTTCTCCCCATTTATACTTCATATTTTAGTTGTTCTAAACTATCCCTATTTCTGGAAATTTCATTCATTTTCTGTGTCTGAGCCTCTTATCAAAATGCCATTGATTCCCTGCCCCCTCACTTTTTCTGTGATGAAATCCTGTTTACCTTTTAATTGTCACCGTCTCTAGTTATCTTCCCTGTGTTCCCCCAGTCCCAAATGGGCACCATATTTAGATCTGTATTCCTGTCATTATACCTGAACTAGTAATTGTTCCAGCTATATGTGGAGTTGAAAATGAATTTATAGAATTGGGCAGCCAGTTGGATGTGGGTGGCACCAGTATATGAAAGAATGATAGTTCAGTAGTTTACTTCAATTAACTATTAAGCAAAAGGAAACAGTTATGAAATGTAAACTATTGATACATGAATAATATTGGTAATTGAGTATTTTACAAAGGAAGTTGGAAAAATAGGCTTTCTTTGGATTTTAAAAATATGGCAAATTATTCTTGTGAAGAGAATTTTCATGAACTTAAGAAATGAGAATTTTTCATTTCCATATGTTAACATAGAATTAGCAGAACAACTAAGACCCTGAATTCCTTAACGGGTGAGTATGTTGAAATTGCTAAGAAAATTTTTAATTTAAGCCAGGTGTGGTGGCACATGCCTATAATCCCAGCAATATGGGAGGCTGGGATAATCACCAAGTTCACGTCCAGCCTAGGCAATTTAATAAGACACTGTCTGGAAATAAAAAATAAATGAACTGGGGATTTAGCTTAATAGTAAAACACCCCTGGGTTCAATCCCTACTACCAAAAACAAAAAAGTGCGAGGTGTTCTGTTGTAACTTGTAGTTCTATCCACTATTCTGCAACTTTGAATAAAAATGGTTAAATTACAGCTGAACATGAGAGTTATAACACATAATTGCTAAAATATTTCAAAAAGCCTATTTTTTGATGCAGTATACAGTGTCACCTACATATATATCTTATAAATTATCTATAATGTCTATATATGTGTTTCAACCTGTTTACCTAGAAATAAAAATGCTCAGACCAATTGAAAGGAAAGTGGATGATTGAAGGCTGTATATTTAAGTACCAGCTAAATTAAATGTCTCCCAGCTTGTGAAGAGCTGGCACAGGCTCTATGACAAGGACTTCTGAACAAGACTTTTCAATTGATTTGTAAAGCAGTGAGAAAAACATTCATCAGACCAGTAGCAAAAGATCAGTGTTATAAAATATTTACATTTTCAAGACCACAGAGCTTTAAAAGGACCAGTGGTATACTGAGAAAAATGAAGTTGAGATTTTGCAATAACCTTTTTGATGATGAAGCTCTCAAAAGGGACAATTGAATTTTAGCTGAAAGTGAACTATTAAGGTAGCAAACACATTTATTAGTTATCTCTAACAACATCTGAAGGGCCTCATTTTTGTACATTTGGCAGAAGAGAACCTCTCCGGAGGCTAATATGTCAGTATGCTTGCTTTTGTTTAAGAAAGGAAAACAACATTTACTGTACATTAAAACATGTTTGAATAAAATTTTCTGAAGAAAAGAATTAAGCATGTAGAGTCTCATCTTTAAAGTTAGAATGAAGCACAAAGTTTATCTAGGTAGTAGTTGAGCAAGTTGAAATTAATGAAGTGCTTTAGTGTTTACTCAAGCACTCCCTATACTGTATCCTTGAAACATTATCATGCTGTATGATATCAAGAGAAGCTTTGAGGCCAGGCACAGTGGTGCATGCCTGTAATTCCAGTGGCTTGAAAGGCTGAGGCAGGAAGATCACAAGTTCAAAGCCAGCTTTAGCAGTTTATCAAGGCCCTAAGCAACTTAGTGAGACCCTGTCTCAAAAATTAAAAAAAAATTAAAAGGGCTGGGAATGTGACTGAGTGGTTAAGTGCCCCTGGGTTCAATCCCTGATATTTAAAAAAAAAAAAAAAAAAAAGTATTGAGGAGTGGGGTAGGTTGAAAATATTCCATGGATTAAAAAGAAGAAAACAGTTCATGGTTAAATAAGGTTCTGAATATGCATATTTTCCCAAAGAAGTCAGGTGTCTACTGCTGACCTCAAGAAGAGGATGATTGAAGGATGCTGCAAGTTGATGCTCATATGCCAATATATCCTTTACTCATTGTCAACATGTTAGTGCAGTTGTTTTCCCTCTTGTTCTTTCCCTCTTCATGTTAGTAAATTTAATTATTTTTTATGAACCATTTAAAAGTTCCACATCTGAACCTGTCCCCTGAGAATTTCAGCACAATTCCTTATCACTCCCTCGGGATTTAACATTGAATCAGAAATATTTAATATATGGTTATTTTCCCCAATTATCTCATGTCTTCGTAACTTTTTTTCTTCTTCTACCCAGGAGCCAGTCAAAAGATTCTATATAATTAAACATACAGACCCAAGATAGGTTCATTTTTAAAACAACTAATTCTATTTTTTCTCCTAAATTCTATGTTCAAGAAAATTTGGAAAAAAGAAACCAGTATATTTTCTTCCTATCTTTTTTCTGTCACTTGATATGCACTTTTGGCTAGGGGCATTCATTTCAGGACCTAAACTTAAAAAATTAGTTACAGGAATGTGTGACTTTAAGAGAAAAAAGAAGAAACAACTATGGTCCAAAGACCCATTATAATTGACTAATGTCCTAGTGATCATTTAATTTAAAACATTATTACAGAAAATTCCATGACAAATAATGCTTAACACATGTTTGGACAACATCCCAGACAAATTCCTAGGGCCACTGTGATTTAAGGAAGTGTCATAATATTTATGACTCTTGAGGCATTCCTTGTCCTTATTTGTAGCTAAAACATTGAGAAATCACTCCTGATTTCTTTAGCAAAGTCAATAGAGTCATCTAAGTTGTCCTCTGGTGGTTGGTTTTTCCTGAGAGAAAATGGAAAACACTGAGCATGAATAATTTTACACATCTGGAATAAATATTAGGTATGACTTGCATTTGGAGGTTTTCTCTTTACTAATTGCTATCATTATAGTTTTATTAGGTTAATTATATTCATAGTCTTTAATCGTACCTAAGAATTCTAACTTAGGGAAAATTCTGTTTTTAGCAATAGTACCCAAAGAATCTTTTTTTTCCCCTCTTGGCAGTACTGTGAATTGAACCCAGGACCTCGCCCATGCTGGGCAAGCACTTTACCACTGAACTACATTTTTAGCAACTAAAAGATCATTTCTACATCCAAGGAACTAATAAATCTTTAACTTTCCTCCAGAATAATTTTAGCATCTAGATAGCTTATATATTTTATCTCTTATCCTTAAGCTTATATTTTTTATCTGCTTGCTTTATGCCTTATGTAGGTGACCAGAGCCATTCTTATTTAACTTCCACCTATCTGCCAAACACAGGTAAATACCTGTTTCGTCTCAGGCATTCCCTTACTAGATGTTTTCTTTACCTGTTTTATCTTAGCGATTCCCCTCCTACTTTTCATAATAGAAAGGAGCACTGTCCTAAATTAGTAAATCAACAAACAAAAGAATTTATCAGTAGGACACAGTAGTTGAGTTTATGAGATATAATAATAATAAAGCAGCCAAGTCTCACACACAGCTAGGAACCAGGAACTGTGAGGCTGCCAGGACTCTCCTGATAGCTTTCTTAACTCTCCTGGTCTCTGCTACTTCTTTTAGTGTGTGTCTTCATCACCCCCTCTCTCTTCCCCACCCCCTTCTTCTTCCTCTGTCCTCTTCCTCCTAATACTGACATTTCTTTTCTCTCTGCTTCCCCAACTACTGGTGGGATACCACTGCCCACTGGAGACTGTTAAAATTCCAGCCACATTTAAAAACTGGCTTTCTTTACATCCAATAAATTCTCAGAAGAGAATATTTAGTTGACACAGTATGTTTATCTATCCTAGGCCAATAAACTGTGACAAGATATTGTTCCATATTGGACAAAAACTATTATAGAATCTTCCTTTTGAGAGGTGGCAATTATTATAGAAGGAAGAATTGTTCATTTGGCTCAGGAGTCATCACAAAACCTATCTTGACTGTGTTCTTTTTTCTGGTAATAAACTATGTACTCAAGGAACCATTTAGTTTTCCTCCCTTACTTTCAAAATGT